CCTCCGCTGCTCAGGTTCCTGCTTATTTCCGTCATCATCGCCGGGTTCAGCACTCGTGCGCTCATATTTCGTCGCGCTCTATCGCCGCCGCGCTCCACTACGCTCGCGGCGCTACACGCGGAAACGAGTAGCACAAAAGCCTGAGCGCGAAAAATTGGCAATCGGGATCGGGAGATAACAACGCGAGCGCACGTTGCCTAGTCTATTCTTTCTCCGTCCTTGCTTTCTCACTCTCTTTTCCACTGCACTCCGCGATGAAGAACGTTGTGACACGCGCTACGAGATAAGAGCTCGCGCTTCTTCTAGCGTTGGCCGTGATGACGCAGGGATGACGATGACTCCTTCCAGGAACCGCGTCCCCGCCGCCGCCTCCGCCGTCGTCGTGGGGACGTTGAAATAATCGCGGCTACGCACCGCGGAGAACGGGAACGCTGGCAACGCCGCGATCCGTGGCGCGACCCACCGAATTTCGAATAATGGCCGCGCTGCCGCCGCCGAACGTTGACCAGAGCACCGCTTCGGTTCCGCGTACTCGGCGTGATCGATCCTCAATGATGACCGACGACGACGACGACGACGACGATGACGACGATGATACTCGGTTCGATCCCTGTCCTCCAGGAAAGCGTGGCTCATAAGACGACGCGTGCACGGCGAACAGCAGCCGCGCTTGGCAACACACAGGGGAAAGAGGGGGCACCACGGTTACTACGTGCCAGACAGAGATAGCGCGGCGGCGAAAACAAACTAAACTCCACCTCGCGCGCGCGATTCCAACGCAAGGCCGCCGTGGAGCAGCTCCTCCGCGCGCAAACGACAGTCAAAAGTACACGATACAAACACTATCGATACCCGCGAAGATTCGCTCTCCTCGAGAGACGATTCCTTTCGGCGTAGCCTCCGAAACGCGATCCGGCAACGTCGCGCGGCCGCACTTGCGCGTGAGTATCCGAGCGACGGCGAGAGAGCGTGTTGCGACGTATCCCGCGCGAATTTCGTGGTCCACCGTGTGGCGATTGTTCGTGACGCGGTCGATCTCTCTCTCTCTCTCTCTCTCTCTCTCTCTCTCTCTTTCGCTTTTCTTTGACGTCTTGCACTCACGCACGACGAGACCCTGCCACGCACAGACGCCGAGACGCGATAACGCAGTCCGTGGTCTCGGAGCGAAGGAATTCCATAGAAAAAGCGCTATTGCACACGGCCCGCAAGCAATATGCCGATTCGCAGTGGGGGAGTCACTCACCGAGTGTGTCGCCTTTGACACCGCGTAAATAAGCACGGAGAATTGCACGCCTTCGCCGTTTCCCGCCAAACAAACGCGACTGTCAAGGCACACGCGCGCGTGGCCCACCCGGGGGGGCTGGCTCTGGAAAGAACGTGTACGGATACGATTACGATTGCGCAGTTACGTGACGTCGTGCACAGACGATACCGTGCGCGATATTCCGGAGTTGCGCAAAGACGCGTACTTAACAGGAAAAGCGCTCTCTAGCGACTGAAGCGTGCTTCTTTCATTGCGAGCAAGCGAACCTCCCGCGCGATTCGGCACTCTCCGCCGCTACTCGGCCCGGCCGTTCGGCTCCGCTCGGCTCGGCGGTTCTTCCTCCTCCCCGTCACCTCCACCGCCGTCAGGCCAATCACGCGGCGAGCGGAGGAACGAAATAACCGCCATTCGCGACGTATAGTCCCCTCGACCTGACTGCGAGTCGCTGCGAGTATACGCGGCAATACGCGGTCACGTCAGACTTGGTCAGACTTGGGCGAAACGTGCGCGGAAAGATTGTACAGGGTACAGTTATCGGGAGAACGCTCCATCCCTACCCATGGGGGCCATGGGAGAACCCGGCCGAGCGGAATGCCAATCGCGATCTCTCTGCGGTCGTGCTCCAATATTCCAGCTTTCAAACTTCGGGGAGGGACGAAATTTGAAGAGTTGACTCGTTAGGTCGGATTCTTAATAGGATTACTTGAGGGGACGATATTATAAGAACTCTGATCGAAAACTGTCTAGTTCTCACGATGAATTTCTTTCAAAAATGAAATTTGTTTCCGTCACGAAATTATCACTAATTTCTCCGTCATTTTAATATTTCATAATACTTGAAGAGATGATATTAAAAGAACAGTGATGAAAAACTGTCCAACTTTCATAACGGGTTTCTTTCGAAAAAAATTGGAAATTTGTCTTCATGAAATTATCTCATTTGAGTAGCAGGTATAGTATTTTTAAAATCTCTTTTTGAAAAGAGAAGAATAAACACTCCTTTATCTTATAAAAGAGGGTATAATTAATATAAATTTAATTCTAACATAATATACTATTAAAAAATATGACTGTGAAAGTAAAATTGTTTTGAGATGTTCTAAACATTTCCACCTACCTACTTGCGTATCTTTAAACCGTCTATCTACATAAAGATTAATTCCTCGGTTGCTTAATATTTTACAATAGAGATATTTTTTGTCGCGAGATGTTGTCTCTTGCTCCTTTCATTCATTTCTCAATTCATGATGTGATTAATGAGACGACGTACAGGATCGGGATCGAAAACGTCGTCGGACGTGTCAAATTAATTTAATTGTGACCTTAATTCGTCGTTTTAATTGTCCTTCACGCACTCGTACTCCCGGATAGCAGTGGCGAAAAGAGAGTGGCGCGTCCCCCTTCGAACGGGAGGGGCATGATGTGGGAAACGGGAAATAAATAGGTCCAGTCTCCAAAACAACACAACGCAATCTTATCGCGTGCGTATATTCGGTGGATTTTCATGTTTGCACGACGCGACGCGTTACGCACGGTGAACTGCTTTGCATACCACTCGGATTATCGCCGACATTTAATACAGCATGATAGACTCGCCACGCGCAGTCCGAAGGACTGAAGGTTACTATGTTGAGCTACTGTAAAGAAATGAGATCATAATTTGTTAAATCCCTCTGATTCGATACGACGTGTCTCAAATGGTTCACTTTAATTTTTGTGTTAATTTAACACGAGATAAATCTGTTGGAAAGTAATACGAATATTAAGCAAAAGTTTACACAAAATGTAATACTTTGACACAATTTGAAATAAATCGTGGAAATATATTATTTCTTTGGTAAAATTATAATATGTTAAATTAACATGTACATTCAGCTTTTATTCATTTATCTTGAAATTTACGCCTTAAAGTTACATTTTTAAAAATATTAAATATTATATATTCACTTACTTATAAGCTGTATTATTTTAACATTCAGAAATTAATTTAACTGAAAATGTTTAAATAACATGATTACATTATGTGAATTAACATTTGGATATGTTAAAAATTTAACACAAGAATGTAACAAGGATCGATTTTAATAGAACATTTTTTGTGTTCTCATTCATTTCTACCTAAAGAAAGTTATCAGTTCGATGTATTATTTACGTAATAGTTTGATATATCGTTTTACGTTTTTTTAATATTAAATAAATCTATTATTAGCATATTTCCTGTGGGAAAATCAACCTCGATTCATTTAATTTATGTTAGTTGATAATGTTGACTATGCTCCAAAATGTAGCTTGATTATTTTGGACTTTTTAGAGCCTGATTCTTCCGATAGTAAAAATATTGAACAATTTTCCAGAGTAATCGGAATCGCAGAAATTGATATAGAGGAGGAAATTTAAAAGTTTTAATTCATAAAATGTCGCACAAAGGTTCTTTGACGTCTTTGGATTTTTCAACGCGACGCTCCGTATGATTCTATGTACGAAACTACAGCGCTCCGTGATGATCGTGCGCTCGTCACAGTACTGCGTGCCATGACATAAAATCAACTGGACGAATCGAGACTTTTCATTGATAATTGTCAATTTACTCCGTTGTGCTCGTCTCGCGCGTGGCACGCGAGGGGGACACCTACGGGAAACAGCTCGGCGCGCTCGTCGACGCTCGGCAGCGAGCAACTCACGACGAGCGAAGTGTAGATAAACGATCCCGGAGTCCAATTGGAGAGAGAGTTTGCCACGCAGCGTTCGATCTTGCTGGTGTGTGTGCGCGTGTATGTGCGTGTGTGCGGCTCAGTCACACACGTCGCCATAACGTGGCGCGAGTATTTCGAATATTCAAACGTGAGTCGAGGATGCCTATCTTTTTTCCAAATCGCATCGTAGCTCGATTAACGATTATAGTCGTAAATGATTATTTTGCATATTTATACAAATTCTTGAAAACGGTATACGTGAGGATTTACTTCTGCTACATTTATCAATGTATTTGTATGAATATGCAGAATTTGTATAAATATGCAAGAATTTGTTTAAATATGCAGAATTATCATTTTAATCGATATAGGATAAAAAACAGCATAAGAATTATTTCTTTTATACGTATAATTATTGACTGTCTTTCAATTCTTCATTACTCGTGTAGGAAAATGTACGAATGCTGTTTGTATACATATTATTATGTTTGTTTTACAATTTAAAAACATTTTTTGCATTAATTTTTATTTAAAGATGTATCTGAGTCATTTTTACAAATCTGTTAATATTTATACTTTAAACAAACTATGTACATATAAAAGTTACGTTTATAACATTCTGTTTTTCAGAAACTTATGGGAGTAATTACGTTAAAACAAATTTAAAAAACCACGCGAGGAATGTAGGATTAATTAAAATTATTTAATAAGATTCTAAATGAGAGAGACGTCACGACGCGCAGGAGGAAATCCGCGTCGGTGCTGCACGCTACTCTGGGGAAACAAAATCCCACGCAGCATCCAGGAAGTGGTGAGGGGTGACACCGGATGCATTTCAATGAGGGGAGACGGGCGAACGGGTTCGCGTAAAACAATTCTTTCTGCGTTTTTGCAGAGACCACCGTCTCTTATTCATTGTCCACCGCAGGAGTGCATTTCAGTGAGGTGTCTGGTTGCACAGGTCGCGTTTTGTAACCTACAATAAAGCGAAAACTCTTCCTGCGATATTTGTTGCCAGATAACATTGATATGTTCCTCAACAAATTTTGTAATAATCGAAGAGTTTGAGGAAGACGATTTATTCATTCAGAGGAAAAGACATAATGATAGAAACACTATAGAGGTGACACTTGTACAAATTTTATATGTAGAATTATGTATATAATTGAATAAACTATTTCATAATTATTATAATTATAAAATAGTTTATTCAACTGTGTGTAAATAATTCTATCTGTAAAACTTGTATAATTTTGTTGTCACCTTTATAGCTGCCATACTGTGTTTTTCTCTGAATATGTAGTTCTAATTATTATGCGGAATGCAATAATTAACTGGAGTAACTAATTTTCTTGTTAGGTTTTTATTTTTTAGTTTCGAATACAATTGTTGACGAAATATTATTTAATTTATCTTTCTTGGATATTAGCTGTCAACAAAGCGTTACTCATGCAGCCTTAAATGAATACGTGTTATTACTACATGATTACTGACGATTAAAAAAACAAACATTTCTCGCCTCATGGACAATGCCTGGATATTATGCGTATATGTATTTGTGAGTCAGCCAGATTGTTTCCAAAGGAAGCTGATGTTTATTCGCAGGCGAGGCGCGCGACCGGAAGGCGCATGGTCGTATCTGTATCGTGTGTTTACCACCGAAAGAGTCACCTGTTTCATCATTTCACTATCAGAACCATGCTCTTACAATTCAGTTGAGGCCGCCGCCGCCGCCGCGTTATCTCATCGCATGCTAACGGGGACAGATTAAACTGCAGCTGCGATAAATCATACTTTTATTGGGCTCAAGGTGGTGGATCGAGATCGAGGTTGAAAACGGATGCACTGTTCTTCAGATGTAAGAAGCCTACTTTCCTCCGAGACATATCGGTATCTGGAGATGAATGTTTCAAGCAGTGATAAATTAGTCAGTTTACATACGCCAGGTCAGAATGTTCAAGCTATTTAAGAATCGGTTAACCCTTCATTACTTATGTGAGATATTCAACCATGAATTTGCTAAATGTTTGAATATTAATTACACACATTACATTATGATTTTTATTATACACATTGTTATACTGTTTATACATTATTTAGCGCAAATTGTTTCACAATTGAAGAATTTTTTTGCATTTATCTTTATCTATAACGAGAGAATTTTCTTTTATAATTCACCCTGAAAATATGGTAGTTGTGGTACAATACAATATATTTTAAAGATTTTTATCATGCACTTCAGTAAAATTGATCAAACTTATTTTATATTTTATTGTAGTTTTATTAATGAATGAGAGAGATTTACATTAAAATTCTTTGAAATACAATGTTGTTCCACGATTGTCATATTTTCAGGATAAATTCTAAAAAAAATTCTTTCCGTGTATCTTTATCTAAAAGATGTATCGTCAATATTTATTTATTTTGTAAATCATCCAAGAGAATAATAAAATTTGAGATGTTGAGGAGTCAGAAATCTTACACGAGTAATTACGTTAAAAAAATCACGTGGATAGAGTTAAACTTCAGTCAACTTTGATCACTGACGCGGAAGTATTATCTGATTTTTATGACTGCGTGGAAATCCTCGTAATATAAAAATATTCACATATTCGAAAATTTTTCTTTCTGAGCATCTGTGATTGTAATCCGTTCACAGAAGGTTCTTTATCGGAAGGATTTTCAATGCTCGGTCAGAATAATGTGTGCGGTATACGTTGTGCGGCAAAATATCTTTTGTCGCCGTCGCGATTGTGCCCACTTCCGTGGGAATTCGCGGAACGGAAGTGCAATTTCTGGCCGGTACCATCGTGGCCAGCTTCCATGGCGGAGCATCGCGAAGAAAAAACGATCTTTAAAGAAACGATGCCAGGTGCAACGCGCACTCTCGCGCCTTCTCACGGCAAAGTACTCACGGATTATTTCGACGAAATCGTGATAGTTGTGGTATCAGCTGTCGCAGTGAGTATTTCACGAAGGAAATAAAGTCAATAATTAAAATTACAAAAATCAATTAGGCAAATGAGAGTGCGGCACGGTACTACTTGATGCACATAAATTTTACGAACGTAATATATTCTAATTACAAACTCAGAGTTTATAATATTTATACACACACACACACACAATATAATTAGAATATATTACGTTTGTATAATTTATATGTATCACGCCGTATTTTTATTTATCTAATCTGCTTGTAATTTTTATTTTAATATTGAAAATACTTTCATCTCGTACTACTTCTCATTTATAATAATTAAAGATTATTCGCAATTGTAAGATGTATTTCTGATCGATAAGGAGTTTTTTTTTTGCGAACTACGTTTTAAATATTGGAAAAGTGTTTATTCTATTCACGATTTTATCAATTTTTCTTCTCTACACTGAAAAAAATTTTCATTGAATGAAATTTTAATAAATATTTATTTAAATAGTTTTAAGTAAATATTTACTAAACATATATATATTTGATAGAAGAACCATTAATTTGATTTAATTATCATTTTTTTATTGAGCAAATATTTATTTACTATGAGTAAATTATTACTTACAATTAGTACTATTAAAAAAATATGTATTAAGATTTAATAAAATTTTTTCAGTATATTCGATTTATAGACGTTTTGCGATAAACGCTGTAGGATATAGTCATTTGTCATTGTAAGATGTTTTATTTTGGTGTAGTATAAATTGGTATAAATTAGATTACGCATATAACTTATGTATAATTGCATTAAGCATCGTAATGCCAAGCGCGCGTATAACAATTCTTTTTTCTTCATTAAACGTAGTCTGAAATGAGAAGGAACGATAAGGGAAACAGATATATAAAATATCGCAATTGTTTTATAATTTTACAGAAATATGTATATATTTTTCTACAGATTTTTCACAAATCCTTTTTTTTAAGCTGCGCGGATGTACTCCATAATATTAAAAATATCGATTGAATAACGTGTATTGCACATTCGTTTATATAGACAATTGAATAATATCACATAATATATGTCATATCGCGTAAAACTATAAATAAATGTAAAAGTATAAATAAGATTAAATAGATACCAAATCGTAGGATTCGGATCGCTTACATACATATACACATATACATGTATATCTCCAGATTTCTCTTTTAATAAATTAATTAAAATTAAGAATTTAGCTTTGGTTTCTTATCTTCGAGATATGATTTGATATCATGTCTTCTTTGACTAGAAACTTAAAAGTCAGTCAATTTGAAAGCATCAACGAGTCGCCACTTTATAAATTCCAGTTTATAAACTGTCATTCTGTAAACATAATTAATTATGTTTTGTAAAATTTTGGGCTCACTATTCTCCCCTTACTTGTAGAAAAAACCGTACTAATATTTTTAGAAAAAATTTATAAATAATTCGTTATTAATAAAAAATGATTTATACGTATTACAAAAAATTTACGTAGTTAATAATTTACTTTCTTATTACGCTTGAAAAACTACAACGTTGTAATTAAAATTTGCTTATCATCAAATAATATCACAATTTGATTCTTTTGCCGCTTTGTTTTTTTTTTTCATCCGTTGATTTGTTAAACGAATTTTTTGCATTATTTTCTGTTTCCTCCGCGCATTCTTCTTTTGAATTTATCCTAATTTATCTTAGATTCAAAACTTCATTTCCTTGTTCATCAAGTGGTACCCATTCGTAACGAATAGGATTCTCCACTGGCCTTCCGCGCAGAAAATCGAAATCCCACTTCTTCATGGCCTACGCATCAATAAACTTTTCATTTTTAAATATCAATCGATGTCTAATTTCTGCAATATTTCACGTATAATTACTTTATCGAGACACAATTATTATATAATGGTGACGATAAATAATTTTAACAATCGTTCGAATTTAATTCATTAAAGAAAATGATTTGTTTCTCACCTCTTCCAATTGTATTCGCCTTTCTTCCAAAATATGATTGTTAATATTCTCACGTTCCTGTGGATTATCGTTGTCACCGTCGTCGAAATTAAGTCTCCTACGCACACGCTGAAGTCGACTGATGTCAATATTCCTGCGTTCTTGCGGATTATCGTTGCCATCACCGTCTGAAGAAAATCTTCTATGCACACAATGGTGTCGGTTGTTGATACCGTCGTCTGAAGAACGTCTACGCACATCACGGCGTTGGTTGTATCGGATGATGCCAATCTCTTCTTCCATTACTAAGCGAGTTCTAAGAAAAATTAAACTTTTTAATAATTAAGTTAGGCGGTCCGCGGTTTTTTATCTAGATTTTGTAATTGATGGAGTTTATGATAAAGAGAGAAAGAGTTAATATTAAAAAATCAACTTTGATTTGAAATCCATTTTATTTGGACTCGTTCGAACTTTTTAAGCATAGATTACTAATTAGGAATTAATATCCTCCCAAATAAAACTTATTGAAATTATAAAATTTATTGAAATCTATCACTATATTCTTCGTCAATGACAGTCAGGTTTAGAAATCGTCGTCACGTTCTTCATCAGCGACAGTTAAATTGAGAAGTGGCAATAAACTCCTGCACAAGTTTCTCACCACTTCCTACTTGGGATTATCTTAAAGAAAGGTGGGAGAAGATCCTTACCCATGCGAAATCAAATCTAAAATCAACATTATGGTGACGACCGTCATCGTCATCGTCGTTATCACTGGATGGAATATGAGTTGTTGTTGATATGATTTAATTACTTGTGGCTTTCTATGGCTCTTGAAATAATTTTAATTACATTTAGATCCAATTGTGAATTTAGAAAAAGTTAATTTGACAAAATGTCCTATTTATGATCAGCAATTTATAATGAACTTTTCGGACATATACCAAGATAAAAGAGTTTTTGTAACAATGTGCAAATAAATGTTTTCCCATCATATTAAAATATAACATTACAAAGTAAGTTTTTGAACTCAAATGTTAAAATCTTTATTAAATAAAAATTGAAAATGAAGAAGAAATTTAAAAATAAAATTTGCTTGTGCCAAAAAAATTTCAAATTATAGACGCAAAGTTAATGTGTACTGATCCAAAGTAATGCGAGTGACTAAATTTATCATGAGTTAATAACTCGCATCGCGAACGTTTTAAAGCTGCGAAATTCAATGAGCCTATTATAATATTTTACACGTAAATTTTACAACTAAATGTCAGCTTATTTTTAAAGCATCTTAAAATTCCGTATTTTTAAAACTGAAATTATGTGGTACAATTTTATGAAAAACCGAATGTACAGTTCTATCTTTTTACATATTATTCTTTGTTTATTATTTGTAATAATCAAAAGTTGAACTGTAGAAATACCCATAACACACCAAAGATTACGCGCTAACCAATTTATGTTTACGTTGTTAGAGATACTTAATCTCAAAGATTCTGTTTTAAATGGGCACGCGTTCTTAGTAATCGTTGTAGGGACGTCTCGTAAAGCTAAGGATCGAATAGACTTTTGAAGTTATACCGGTGTAGTGCCAGAGATAAGGTTTCTTTTCTCTTTGTGCTCCTTACGCTCTTAATGATCGCGAATGAAACACCGCGCTTCTTACGCGCGTTCGTTAACACAAACTGGTTTGATTCGCCGGCTTTTGCCATGAGCCCTAACGAATGAATTCCATGTTATTCGCGTAATTACTATGATGTACAATGGAGCAGGTGATACAGCCGAGTGCATTAACTCCTCAGGTTACATGCAGCGTGTTGCAGGATGACGCAGTACAGTAGCTTCTCTCCGCGCTGCACTGGTCAGGTTAATGCACTTGGGTGTACGTGCTTTCCTTTCTCGGCACATTTCGGCCATACTCACGCGTACGCGGATTGGGAAGATAAATGGGTGCTGCCGGCACTTCGCGAATCGAGGTGCGAGATGACTCGCGAGAGGAAAGGAGAGAGATGAAGAAAAACGAGCGCGCATTGTTGAAATCACTCGAATGGCGTCATGCGGAGTCAGCGATCATCTGATTCGGCATAATATATCGTCGCACCATATTAACTCGAAAATCGCAATCGTCCGAGAACGATATATGTATCTATATTTTTTTCTCGTTTTCTGAAACCGTCGCTGTACTTTTTGCGACGATCCAATTATTGCGGATTTATCGCAGGCATAAATTGCATGCGTCGTTTATTTGGTCGTCTAAAACTGACATTGGCGATTTATCTGGAGCACTGTATGTCGAGTAGACTTAACTGCCGGTATTGGAAGTACTCGTTTGAAATGATACTTTGCACAGCTTCAAAAAAACGTGAAATTATTTATTTGATTTGCGTACTTAGCTTTTCCTAAATCTTAGAAAACGTAAGAAAATTACTTGCATGGAAAGAACGGTTTTGCTGAAATATCTAAAAATTTAATTAAATGATCTGAAAATAACTTTGTTGGATCATTGAAATAATTATATAAGGCGATCAAAATGATTGCTAGAATATTATCAAAACTTTTTGCAACATCATGTTTGAGATTCACATTGAGAAAAATTTTTAGTTGAAAATGGATGAATCAAAACATCTCTAGGACTAAAACTATAACATACAATGGCTACAGAATTATAATAGATTCAATCAGAAAATTTTTATTTGATATGTCCATTTTTAACCAGAATTTCAATTAATGTAATCAGATTTTTTCCAATGCATCGAAATTGTTCTTTCGTATACAATAATATATAGTACATCCAATTCTTTTGATTTGAGAGTTTTGTATTCTAAAGAATTGTTCTCTCTCGCACATTCCTATACGCCTGCAGCCTATCAAACAGGTAGTACGGGTTTATACAAAGGTGCATGCCTTTCTCTGACCCACTTACTTAGTCGTTCGACTATTCCACACAAATATCGAATTGCACAATTGATTTCATCATTCTTAGTTGACACGTGAGAATTCATCACGAAACACGCAAATTATGTTTCTTCCAATTGCACATATTAGTACTGAATTATCAATTCTAAAAAATATAAATATGAATTTAACATAGTACAGTGTTTATATACTCAGTTCCAAAAAAAGCGGTACACTATAAATTTGGAAAAAATTTACCAAATTTCAAATGATCATTTTTGCATGTTGTCACTTTGTCATCCGCCATTTTGAAAATAATGGCCTAGTACAATTCCCATTCAAATAATCTTAAAGTGGACATTTCAAGCTTCATTTTGCTTTTTAAATATATTTTTATCTTCATTATTTACCAAGTTATGATCATTTGAAATTTGGTAAATTTTTCCCAAATTTATAGTGTACCGCTTTTTTTGGAACCGAGTGTATAATTCTCACTGTTAATGTTGATATAAATAACATGGGTTTTAAATCCACATGTTGATGTTGATATTATAATACTGCGTCAACATGGTGAAGATTAAAACACCATATGATATTAAATTCATATTTCTTAGAGATGGAATCAAGAAGGTGAAGAGAGAGATAAAGAAGGGTACAACTTTCATCTTTTCGCGGTTGTTCGGGGATGATATTATTTTACATTTTCTTATGTATAATATTTTTCTTCATGGAAACCAAAAATAATAATAATGACGCTACATTCAAGGTAAAATTTGTTGTTGATCCAACTCTGAATTAGTTTATCGTTGCAACGATGATGAATAAGGATTTTATTAACTTTATTTTACACACACACACACACACACATTCACACACAATGTATCAACTTTTCCTTAAATGTATAAGCGTCATTATTCTGATAATTTTTGGTTTCCATGAAGAAAAATATATAAAAAAATATATAGAAATAAAACAATCCCCAAACGATCACAAAAAAAAATTGTACCCTCTTTTCCCACGCAGCAAAAATATATTCCGAATATATCATATTATCTTACAAACGTTACAATATCTTTAGGCTGTCCTTGTGATATAATTTGGATGTTTGTACTGTATGGGTTCTATTTCATAGATAAAAAGGAAATGCGATATAAAATATTCCGTGCACGATAGACAACTACGGTTAACATATCCGGTGCAACTTCGCGACTTGCAAATTCTATTTCTCATTTTTATTTGTATTCTTCGCACGTCACGCTAATCTAACACTAATCTTGCGACGAAATTACGTCAGAGACAAGTTTCGTAGTTACATTGACAGCAGGTCGAGTATCAGTTGAAAGCAGAAAAGGAAAGTACGCAGAATTAATTAAGGAAACGAATGAAATTCTAGCGGCCACAACTATTATGTCGAGATATGAATCCAGCCTAATCTGTTTGTATATTTCTCTACTCACTTCCTCGGGATAACTTCCTCTTTCATTCAGCCTTTCGCAGATGTGTCTGCAAAACGGTGATAAGGTATCGGCTTTTATCTGGTAGTAATTACACTGGCGAGTGCATTTGATTGAGATCGTTTTTTGTTGCACTCCGTAACTGCTTATTTATCTCGTCTTCACACGTGCGTCTCGTCTTTTGGTTTAACATCGGCCACAACCGGACGCCAGTTCGTACATTTACACCGGATCGATAAACATGTTTTCATCGGGGGTGTGGAATCCAACTGGGGTGATTTTGTGCGCGCGCACATACCCTACGACGAGGGTGAATCGTCAGGGCGCATTCGCAAGGTTTTCGATATAGGATTATCGATAGCACGATACATTTCGATTTGTAGAACCATGGTACACAAAAAAAAAACGTAAGCAGTAAAATGTAAGCACTTGCAAATCTAAAAGATCGATTTACCACTTTCGTTTCTTACTGCTTAAGTTTTTCTGTGTGCCACGTAACACAACTTATACGTTTTTATGCGGAGAGCTTTAACTGGACTCACTGCTCTAATGATAGATTTTTCCAAATAGTCGAATTGTGTTGTTAACTGATTTTGACATATTTCATATAAAATGAAATTTAAAGGAATGCATAACTTTTGACCTACTTCTCGAATTCTAAAAGGATCAATTTTTAAACACGTGTTAATTCAAACAATTTATATTCTCTGAAATCTAAAGAAATATTCTAGCGTTTCTTAAACGATTTGAAAATATTTCTATGAGAAATAATAATGGTACGCAACTTCTTTCCGTGAATACTTGAAACTAATTTACCTCACAATTGCTGATATCAAAATGTCTTGAAATGTAAATGACACTCTCTTGTCTGGCGATATTTATAGAATAACCCGACGGAAGTTGGGAGAACACACATTGAGAGACGCGTCGCGGACTGAGAAACTCTCTCTCCGTTGGCATGCAACTAGTCCCAAGGTAAGACTATTCTATTGCTGCATCTCGGCTGCAGCTCTGACTAGCCTAGATTCACTTAGGCCTCGCGCGAACGACCGCGGACGACAGTGCAAACGCATGCGCGAAAGAACCCGTTAACCGCACGTTTTATTGCGCGGTCATTCATCCTGTAAAGCGAATTTATATCGGCCGATGCCGATGACACATTTTAGCAACTGTTCATCATGATGATGGATGATATTTTTCCGGCGAAGAAATATTGCTCTGGACGTTCCGCGAATCTTGTTGCGATCGCGAGGGCGGGAGGAGCAGAAGGAGGACGGGGATTAGCAAGAAGGTCATATTGAGACTACCTTCGAGAGGCTCGATGAGAATTATCGCGTCACTCTGGGGCGCGCATTTCCGTTCCAGACTAATGTCTTGTTTCGTAGAATCGTTCGGCCGGAATGGAGTTTAATTAACGATACACGTCCGATAATTCGCGCGATGCTATAATGATAGCGCTTTAATTAACAACGTTGCACCATGTTATCTGCGTTGAGGTCCAAGGTTGCAGTTTTCCGAGGAGTACCAGACGGATATCGCCTTTGCAATCGGAAAGAGTAATGTGATCGCGCCGTTTATATATTGGCTCGTAGAATCCGATAGGCGTACGTCGATTGAGCATAACACGAAGATTATTCTGACTCATTGTATCTTATTGAAACGTAGCTTGTCATGATAAGACGCGAAATTGAGAGAAATTTGCGTCGTTTCGCGATAATTGATCTTTCCGCATTTTTAATCTTTCCTCGGTTCACTCAAAACAAAATAAGAAATTGTCAGTTAAGCTGATATATTACGCATTTGTATATTCGTGTATTAAATAATTCAGAAAGATAAGCATATTTAGAAACCCAATAAATTAAAATAAGCATACGTCTATTCGACGAATGAAATTTAAATTGCATTTTTCAAATTATTTTAGAAAATATATTTTATATTTTGTGTATATTTGTTTTAACACAAGGTATATATATCTCTCTACAAGTAAAATAAAATTTAATATTATGCAAACATACGTATACTAATTGTAAGAAAATTAACATTTTTTTAAATATCTCTAAAAATCACAAATGAGAATGAAATTTGAAAAATACTACTTTTACCGTTCATAATTCTTAAAATTATGAGATTACCGTTTGTAACTGCCACTAATTTAAATTTTTTAATTAAACGTAGAGATCACGTTTAATTTTTTAATTGAACGTTTGCGGACTTTGAACTGACTTTGAAGCGCAAAAAAGTTTGACATTAGTTACGGAAAGAATGTTTTTTTTCCGCTTTGCTGAAGCATCTATAAATTTAGATACCAATATAAAAATATATAATCGCACGGAATGCAAGAGATCCGGGTTCGACTCCCGGCCGAGGCATTATTTTTCGCAATAAGTTTTATTACAGTTTTTAAGTTGGGGAATTTGGGGGGATTATTAATATTTTCAAATTTGATTGCGTTGAAAGTCCGACAACCATATCGGCACGCAATTATCATTTCTGAAATTAATTCATTTAAATGAATTTACAATAGTTCAACATCTTAACGTTCTGACCGTTATGGCGCTTCTTAATTTAAAATTATTATGTTTAACATTAGCGGTCTTTCAATCTTATTATTGTTAAAAATATATAATTTTTTTAGATCGAAATAATTAAGTAACACTCGTATTAGTTGTTAGACTGTTAAATTTTTTTGTAACAGTGTAATCATACTTTAAGTGTGTTTTAAATAATTATTTGGATAATTATTTTTAGATTTGTATCTCTAATTAAATTTTTAAATACTTCAGCGAAACTGTTCTTTCCTTATATGTATCTTTGATACAATTCAACCAAGTGTCAGAAGAGCTATCTATATCTCCAATGATAGAATATTTTTTTACAGATAACACAACGGGAAGTGCGACAATAAGAAGCCTTACATGCAGATATTCGCGCAATCATGCAAGAGGAATTCTAAAAAAAGGTAACAGCTGAATCAGCGGTGCGTTTAGAGACGTAGTTTTAAAAACATTCTCCTTCCTTTGGCACGGCACTTCCTACGGCTGGCGACGACCTCTTTAACGGCTCGCAGGCAACCGCCGTTTCATACCGTTTCGAAGGCGGTGTTCCGCATCGTGATTGTTCCGTCGAGGAAACACGAGTAACTAAATCACGCATAAGTTTTTTTTCTCGAGTAAGCCCGCACCTGAACGTTGAACGTCCAAACGTTTTTCACGTCCGATGCTGGTCTTCGCGTTCGACTCGCTCTTTGACTTCAGCCTCGATTCGTCAACGAGACTTTTTCCCTTCACTGCTGATCGAACGAGCTGCGACAAAGCGTACGAACATCTCGAAGACGCGACGTGATTGTCTCGTTTTACGGCAAAAATCTGTGATTTTTCGTCACGGGAGACAAAAATATTCACCGTGAAATTACCAATGATCGATGCTTCTCCGCAGCCTCTTCTCTTCTTTGACGTGGCCACGTCTTTACTTCACGAGTTAAGTCATTCGCACGATGTTGGTTCACGTTATTACGGTGGTCCGCTGATGTCAAACTTATCTTTCTTGATATGTTTGAGAGAAAATAATTTTTCATGTATGAAAATTAATACGTAACCTTGTAGAATCGATTAAAAAGTATAAAGATGTCAACGTGAATGATCTGCTGTTAATTGTTTCACGAGCAGGTTTAACTGACTACGCGCGATACATTGCACGTCTGCGTTACACGACGATGCGCTTATTGTTTCTTTCTTCCTCGCGACAGTTTACGAACTGACTGCATAATAATCTTACAGAGCCATCGATTGCGTAAGTGGAATGCATGCGACGATCGATAACAATGTGGAGTAATAATAATAATATTTACTATCGTTTTAGCACCGCTATTGGTCATTGCAAAATGGTTATGGTATACATATTGCATAAATGATTTGCGATAAGTGTCTTTTTTAATAATTAAAAAAACGCGATCATACGAAATTAATAAGGATAACTTGTCTTTCTCTTATAAAATTAGAAAATGTATGTTATTTTTAACGTATTTCATGTGTCTTAAACGGTCCATCAAATTTTCGTGATTTACATGTAATTTATTTTAATTACACTTTAATACATTGTAATTTATTACAAGATAAATATATTAGAAAATAACATGAATATTACAAAAAAATTAACAAAGAATATCATACTGACACAATTTGTAAAAAAATTGTGGAAGTATATTTTTTTAATGTAATTAACATCATGTTAAATTAACATCTTATTCATATATCTTGGAATTTACGTTTTAAAATATAAATTCACTTACTCTCATAAACTGTTACTTTAACACTAAATGTTGACTTTAATACAAAATGTTCAAAGAACACAATCACGTTATGTTAACAAATACAAAATATTTTCTGTGTGAGGTTCCGTGTGCCTTAAATGAAGTTGAAGATACTTGTTGTTGAAGAAGAAGGTCATAGATAAGATCAGGACGCAAAAAAGATTAACTAGGAAAAAGAATCATTAATGCGGGCAAGATTCGAAAAATCCGACTTGCGCAGCCGCGCGTATAATGCGGTTCTTTCGTTCTGCGCCTCGACACCTGTGTGAAAGAAGATTCCCCCGAGTAAATTCGCTCACCCCTGCCCGCCAAGGAGTCGTATGAAAAAGTAGAGAGGGTTCGACTGATGCCCAGTAATTATTCCGCTTGAGTTACCGAGCAAACGGACGGGCCCTTAACGCCCCGAAGAAATTTCTACCGGACGGTCCCCTCGTGGCGAAGAAGTCATTTGCATCTCTTACCACGAGAAAAGATTTCCGATGCCATTCGAGATAGAACTAAGCTAGCGTGGCGAAACATTGCGTGATCCGAAACGCCGCCTAGCAACTATTCGCTTGTTTCGCAAGCTAAGTAGGGGTTTTTGTACATTATCTCTTACACAATACAATTGTACTGTGTGCATGAATATAGAAACCAAACGATGTTAGAACAACGCATTTTTTTACATCTTTTTATTAGAAATCAACAGTTCTTGCCATGAGTGTATCCAATATTTCAGTCAGGAGGAGCCAAAAGTTTATAATAATATATATCTTCACATAAAACTTTATATTAAAATTAACCTTTGAGGATTTTTAGTGAACTTTCTTACAAATAACCCGTGAGCCACACATTGGCTAATTAGAGTTTAATTTTTCGTCGTAAAAATGATTTTCATAATTTAATCGTTTCTCCTTGTCTAAATTTAGGAAGGAAGGGGCAAACGGCCGTTCTTGTGTACACTCATGATTTTTTCTTTGTCATATTCTTAAAAAGATGTTTTGTTTGTTTTCTTTAATACCGTAAGACTTATTGGCTGTGACTTATTTAGCTTAGTATCGTGTGCGACTAGCATGAGTATTTTTAGCTTGACGTCTGCCTAATCAATATTAATGTTCGAATAGTACATGACTGACCGTAGAGAATAAAATACCTGTTAATGAACTTCTTTACAATTTTATCGTTTTTTTCATTTCGATGTTATATCTTTCCGATTAATAATTCCGTAAGAAAATTTAATTTTATCAAAAAATTTTATTACACTACTCGACGAAAGGTTTGTTTCGGTTCGCGAATAAAACGCAATATGCGTAATATTAATTAAAGCTGATAGCTAATAATGTTATCGAAAACTATTTCACCTTGTGCGCGTTCTTGACTTCGTTTCTTATCGCGGATCGTAAAAATTGCGTGCACCCGGCACTCAAGTATCGACGTTATTAACTTGTCGCTAATGCGTTTCAGATTTGCTCGATAGCACGCGACCACATTCGTTTTGCATTCTATCCGATAGTAATCATCAATATCAAATTATACACTTCAACAAAAAAATCACTTTTCTTTTCCCCGAAGTGCCGTAGTACAGACCCTGAAGATTTTTTCGCATCGAACACGATACCGTTGACAAAATTTGCATAGCACATTAGAATTTTGAGTAAATTGGAATGAAATGGGCTAAGAACGCTATTTTCTCTCATTTTATTCCAATTTATT